GTAAGACGGCTGGTTTAACTTTTTTCTCAACGATGTGGTCTTCAGCGAGTTTGGACAAGATAGGCGTGAGAGAGATGGGACGGAGGTGCTTGTTAATATCATTAATGGGCCTTTGTTTTGGGACCGGGACTACGTCAGCCTCTTTCCAGGAAGGCGGAAGGCGGGATTTTTCGTGGAACGAGGAGTTAAGGATCACAGATACTGGTCCCGCCAAGAGATCAGCGTTTTCTTTTAATAACCATACCATATTATAATTATCAGTGAGAATATAAATCGAATGAAGCCTTTAACACTGCTGTAAAATGTAAAAATGTTTCATAAATCCGAGCTTTCGCCGATCAACGGCATCACAGGGATGATGATGCCGTTGATCGGCGAAAACTCGGATTTATGAAACATTTTTACCTTTTACAGCAGTGTTAGGCTTCATTTGATTTATTTGTATATATTTCAACAATGCTGCTGAAGGACAACTTGAACAGATTATATCATATAAGAGATTAGAATTCAAAATATGTAGCACATCTAATCTGATCCATTGTCACTTTCATGGAAACGATCATTTACTCGACTCAAGACGAATTCTATGCTGTGCCGTAAGTAGCTCTTCAATAGATCCATTACCATTGGCAGAGGGCAAATAATCGATACCACATTATTGCCTCATGTAAGAGTGTAAGGAATCAAACGAACTCCTCATGTAATGTAGGTTGAATTATAGCCCCTCTTGAGTGGACAAATCGAAACGACGAAACGACATAAGGAAACGACGAAACGACATAAGGAAACGACGAAACGACATAACGAAACGACGAAACGACATAACGAAACGACGAAACGACATAACGAAACGACAAAACGACGAACCGATTTGGCCGGTGACGAGTCGGACTCGTAAAACAACGAGTCGAAGAGGCCAGCCGACGAATCGAACTGACAATACGACGAAACGAGCTGGAAGTTCGACGAGTCGAACTCGGAAAACGACGACTCGACATAACGAAGCGACGAAACGCCAAAACGAAACGACGAAACGAACATTTTGTCCAGGATCTACCTTCATATTCAAGTTTCTCGTTTGCTGCACTCACTCGTGAGATATTGAGTGGAAAACAAGGAGAGAAATTAACAGACCAAATCAACAAACAACCATGCATTATTTTGTTTATTGCATAAACACCATAGGCATTTACTGACAAGAAAATACAGCAAATGACCTTTGAATGAGAATGGAGAATGTAGTTCCTTTGATTTATCAACCTGAGAGAGTGGCGTGAAAGGCGAGTGACGTGTCAGAAGCTGATTGGAGATATCAAACAAACGTAAAAACTCTCGTACTTTTATGACACTTACAAGGGCTGGAAATCCTTCCAAAACACTGCAGTTTTGATAATAAATAATATTACAGTAAGATCAATTGGAAATAAGTTTTATGACCGAAAGATCAAGCATGAAACTTCATTATTCGAATTTAACTAGTGTTAACCGGTTGCTATGCAATTGCTTTACCCTTTACACCCTGACCTGATATCAGAATACATGTTCTCTTTACTATTCTCTATACATTTCCTATGGTGCCGATGTGGAGAATTTGTGTAACAATCAAGAGCTTCTTGAATTGGTGATCATTTCCTTAATTCTCCTGACCCTGAGGTGTGATTGAGGGGTGATATTGTAAGGAGAAATTGGATACTGGTCACTCTTAGGGTTTAAAGGATTCATGTTAAACGAAGAGTGTGCAAGCATTCAAAATGAAACAATGGAGTGGTAGTTTCAAAATTCTCGCTGAATTTTGATTTAAAAAAGTTAGGTATAAAAACTTCCAAAAAAGGAGTAAAAAAAAAAAATTCAAAGAGGAACTCGAAAAAAAGTGTTTCATTCCAAAAATAAATCTTATACAAGCACTTCAGCACAATTTGGAACACCTACCTGACAAATATGGCTTACCGCGGCGACAGATCGCGATGTTCTAGAGGACGAGAATAAATTCAATGACTGAGTTTACACGAAGGAAGATCTTTCTCAACATCTGAAGCATACTCTAAACAATTTGAACCATGCATCTTCACTGAACAGACTTCAACGAGGCGAGTTTGCTGGAAAAAATGCAGAACGCTAGGGAATTAATGCCATCTTCGACTCTGATTCCTCCAACGAATGGGGCGAATATTTGAAACATTAACACGACATTTGCATTTTTTAAGCTTTCTTTGTGTTCGTCTCCGCGTGACGAGATTTCAAAATATTTTTTTCGGCATAAAATGTAATATTCTGGTTATCATTTCGTTTGTTGTGTATAGTATCACTCAGTCTGAGAGTATTTTCTTCATGTGGTCTCTAACTTTTCCACTCGACACCCGATGTAGTAACTCCCTTTTCGCAGCAGAGAGGCATTTTGTCTGCGCATGCGCGAGTGGAATAAGTTTGGCGCGTTCGGCGCCATTTTCATGTTTTCAACGCGCTTCTGATGGTTTTCAACTGGACGAACGACACCTTTTTGTAATATTTTTTGAAGGTGGGTGAAGGAGTATGAAAAGTTCACCAACATTTCTAACTCTGTGGATACCCTTGGTGTTTGCGGGTGGTGGTTTAGGATATTTTAATGATCAAAGTGCGAACATAGCGCCAAAAAAGTCCAAAAACTTGAAGTTTGAGATTTGATTTACTGAAGATCACATGTGAATATGAGATTACAAACCTCGAAGGTTAGTTTCAAGATGTTGATGTTTCGATTTTGATCTTTTTTTACTTCAACTTCGAAGTAAAATTGCGTCAAGTTTAAGGTGACCCCCAAGCATCAAATCACTTTGCGTAACCTCCTCCTTTCGTTCTCTTTACAGTCATATAGGACACAAGGCCGTTTAAAAAATGTTCCAGCTTCAGGATTGAGATGCTCTTACCGCAACCTTCAGCGAATTATTTTTCGGGAGCTCTTGGTAGATTTTCCAAGTCATGACTCAAAATCGTCTTTGGTATTTTTGCTCTCTAAGTCTGTTGTACATGGTAGGTAGGCATGTGTCTTATCAACGGTTATGGTCTTGCCTCAATCAACTCCTCTTTAGGCTTATTTTTTGCCTGTGTTTTAGTGGTAGTTTTTATCATTGTCTTTTCGAGCTTGAAGAGCTATTTAGAGGAAAAACTTCCGTAAAACTTTTTTATCACATGGCCCCAAAATCGTTCACTAGTGTCAGTTAACTGTTTGTCTAGCTTTCGTTCCAACTAGTCAATTTATCTCAAAAAAAATTCGTGGGATTTCTCTCATGAGTTAAAACTGGTGCTGTTTTCTTCATGTTTAAGTGTAATTCGAAACGAATGGCTTCAGCTGTATTCTGTCCTGTTTTATTTCAGAAGGATATTAATGCTTTCTCCTTGCAAAGTGAATTTTGACTCGAAGTGCACTATGAATTTCAAACCCGTTGAGTTATATTTCACTTTGCTGTATGTGTCGTGATCTTGAAATTCTTATTTCTTGAGATTGATGATAGGAATTAACTGCTATGTTCTCTTCTGTGTGAGGTAATGTGAAGTGACCCAATAATTGGTACTGTAGACAGAATGGATGGCTGCGACACTTATTGTGGCAAGCTGTCATTCAATAGTTTTTCATTATTAACAGAAGCTTACTATTGATATAATTTAAGGGCGTAGCCAGGGGGGGGGGCGTCCTGGGGTGCCCGTGAGCCCCCTTTGGTGGGTCTTCTTGAGAGCAAACAACCTACAATATTCAGATGGAGAAAACGCCATGACAATATCTTGGCCGTAAAACCCATTGATATGAGTCTTCATGCCGCGATAATACGACTGAGCCCGCTGATATACGTGGGAGAGCAGCGGTGTAAATGGTGAGTAGCCTCTGTGACCCCCCCTTTGAAAAATCCTGGCTAGGCTCCTGGTTTAAACTATCAGTCTTTTGTTCTATGCACACAATTTGCCTAGACTAATATGTTAATATGCTAAAATGATCAATAAAGTTTTCAAAACTTTTGTCCAAATCTCATCGAAAACGAATATGAGGAGTGATCAGTTCAAATATTCTCATATTCCTTAAGAGTGTTTGAGCTTCCGGGCTGAGAGCTAATATTTCCTGATGATTCAAACATTTTTCTGCCGTGAAATTGACTAAGCCAAACCCCCTGGCAAATGTCTCTAAATCTCTTTAAATAGCAGCCAAGTTGGTGCTCCTTACCATTTAAGGTTACTTCCCAACTTAGAGGGTGTCCTTCAGGAAAAAGATTCGTACGCACACTAGTTTCAAGAAAACCCTAACAAACTTTACATCAAAAGAAAGCTTAATAAATGCAGTTTGCGATGAAAATGTAATTTAGGCAATATTTTTATTTAGGAAATAACAGAAGCC